CCTCTGCTTTGCTAAGACGATACGGTGGTGGCTCACGAAACACTGGAAACGACCGAGACTCAATCATCGACTGAAGACACATATTTCCACCCTCGCCGCTAAGGCAGAGAAATACGCAATCGCACTCGATAAAAAAATATTTCTCGAAACATGACTCTCTTACGCGATATCTCCATACCAAATCTTTCTGGCACCTCCTGCGCCACCTCATTCACCCGTATTCTACCAGAGACGCCTTCAGGGGGTTCTACGTGGCTTTCCTGGCGATAACATGGACTTACGCCGTGCAGTACAAGTACGTCAACACCACGTAGCATCACGTGCCCACATCATTGTATGACGGCCCTGATAATCCCGAACATTTAAAACTGTTCATGGTAATCGAAGTTGAAGCGACGATACAAAGCATGGAAAGTGCTCTCCCCCGAGGCCCAATCAGGCATAGATAGGGTTACACCTATAGCCAAAGCGATGACATGACGCAATTGCTAATCGATAAGATATACCACTACTGAGACGCCGAAACGCTTCCTATGAAGTGGAAATCTGCCGAGCTTAGTTTCATCCCGAAAGCCAGCAAAGCGCTCAACATTGATAAGCTTCATCCGATACCTCTCTCGTCATGCACTGGTAAGGTAATAGAAAAAGTGATACAAATTGATTGATATGTGGGGTTTAACGTCCCAAAACCACTATATGATTATGAGAGACGCCGTAGTGGAGGGCTCCGGACATTTAGACCACCTGGGGTTTTTTAACATGCACGCAAATCTGAGCACACGGGAAAAAGTGATACAAATAAGGCTAACCGAATATCTAGAAGAATAGAGCCTCCTGTCTGACACCATTTACGGCTGTCATCCCCATCTGTCGGTGCAAGACATCCGTCTCTACATACAACATGAGATTGTCCACTGGCCCAGTTGAAACACTCACGAGGGGGGGGGGGGGGGGGAGTCACTCTTGCAATTGATTTCAAGGGTTCCTCTGCCAACGCTCGGCACTTAAGAATCGTTTAAAGCTTACGGTCACGCTAGTGTGGCCCCAAGTTTTTCGCAAATGCGCGGGACTTTCTTACTTACAGACGGGTCACCATCCGCGTAGAGGACCTAATATCGAGGACCATTACGACGGGTGATATAGGTGTTCCTCAAGGGGCTATCCTTTCACCGCTCATCTTCCATATTGCCCTTATGCGCCTCCCAGAGGCCCTGAATAAACTTGAGACGCACGTTATGCCCTCTATTCTGATGACATTACATCTGATGGCGCTCGGCCAATCTAGACAAGATAGAAGGAACCCTTAAACGGGGTGCCTCCTTCGTTGAAGAGACGAGGCGCAAGAGTGGTCTGGAGTGCTCCCCCACAACATCCGAAATCCTTGTATATAGAAGTAAGGCACCTTACACTACCTCTCTCAACGTACAGCTACAACGTACATGCGAACTTTCTAAGTAATACGACTGTATGGTCATTTAGTGTTATTATTATTATTATGATTATTATTATTCTAGTGCTATTAATATTCTGTGCAATAAGTAGCTATGTTCTGCGCTATGTTTTTTGTATATTTCAATCATGTTTTTTTTCTACTTTTAAACATTGTATCCAGGTTGATGTCCTTTGTCGCTGTGTAACCACTTGCGCAAGTATGTAGGTATGTCACACAATTGGTCCCTCTACAAGCCAGTTAGGCTATGGGACCAAACAAGTGTTTGCGAATTTTTTTGTTACATGGGTGCGAAAGTTACAATTAAAAACATTTTAAAAAATTGGAACTTGAATTAACGAGGTTGAAACCATCCGAGTTTTATGGACCTATTTCAATAATCAGGGCAACAACACATTTGCAATACATAAACTAAGAACTCCATGTTTTCACATTTCTCCTATGATTATCCGTGAGCCGAATCGACACCGAACGATGAAAGTACATGACATAAAGACCACGAACGTTGAGACCCAGTTGTGACTTCGCTAGTTCCATAAACCTCATCACATGACTCATTCAGGTTTTCGTTATGAGTCGCATAACCTATAGACTTCCTTATCTGAGGATCTTGAAAGCAGACGAGCGAGAAATTGACATTCATACGTGTCACTCTTAACAAAGCTCTGAACCTTTCTCCGCTCACACTATGGGAACATATGCTTCAAATGGAGCTTCCCAATTCCTCGTCTGAACTTTTTTAAGCCCACCACATGGATCAAGACACATACCTTGCCGTCAATAAACCAAGACGGCAAACATTATCAGAATTTGGCAGCGAAGTCTCCATTCGCAGAAGGCGGAAACAACGTACGCCACTTGAATGGAGGCAGGACATTATCATAAAACCACTACCACGGAATATGCATCCTTGATTCCAGAAACATCGACGTCGGGCATGGGCTCACGAAAAGTACTAAGACACTGAAGGCGCCTTCTTTGTTGATGCAGCTGGACCAGTGAGCGGCAAGTACACGGCAACCATTATTGATCTAGGAAAACAGATATATTGTATATCAGCACAGCACCGGGGCACATCTAGCATGGAAGAAGCAGGAATTGCCCGCGCTCAACGAAACCCGGGCCCACCTTTATTCTCACACAATCACAACCAATCTACTGAAATTTCTATGAAGGCTACATGACCAATTTCGAACCGAGCCCTTACACAGCTACCAGCACCACGTTCAGAGGGAGACTCGCAACAGCTGATATTAATACTTGGTCAATTCAGAGTTAGAGGCAATGAGCTCGCCCATGCCTCAGCCCGAAAATTACTCTTCCAGACCTCCAAACCAGCATATCGCACCCGCCCTCAGCTGTGGTCATGGACCCGCTTCTCCCGTATGCGATGATTCTAGAACACCAAAGACTCGAACGACAGAAACTTTTACACCCATGGCAACCCTTCCGTATGAATTGACAGGTAGCGTGCCGTCGCCTACAAAGGTTGTCCTACCACAAGACGTCATCATCATCATTATCATCATCATCATATTCATCATCTTGACTACGTCCACTGCAGGACAATGACGTCTCCCATGATCTGCCATACAACTCGGTCCTTTGCTTCCTGCTGCCACTTTATACCCGCAAATATCTCAATCTCGTCTGCCCACCTAATATTGTCTCCCTCTAATCCGCTTGCCTTCTCTGAGAATCTGGTCAGTGGTCTTTAGTGACCAGTGGTTATCCTGCCTACGCGATGCATTCCAGGCTCATGTACATTTCTTCTTCGTGATATCAACTGTGATATCCTTAACCCCGATTTGTTTCCTTATCCACTCTGCTCTCTTATTGTCTCTTAAGGTTACACCTATCATATTCATTTCCATCACTCGCGTCGTTGTCACCAACTTAAACTGAACCTTCCTTGTAAGCCTCCAGGTTTCTTCTCCGTAGCTAAAAACTGCCAAGATGCAGCTGGTACATACCTTCCTTTTGAGGGATGGCGGCAATCTACCCATCAGAATTAGAGAGTGCTCGCCATATGTGCTCCGCCCCAATCTTATTTTTTCAGTCATGTCAATCTTGTGGTTCAGCTCCGCAGTTATTACCTGTCGTAAGTAGACGTAGTCTTCAACACCTTTAAGGGCAGTATTACCTATCTCGAACGCTGTTCTCTTCTGAAGTTTTACAGTACTTTCGTTTTCTGTAAATAATCTTACGACCTGTCGATCTGCTCTCGTTGTCTGATTAATTAAGCGTGAGTTGCGATTCGTCTCCTGAGTTACACAGCAAGGCAATGTCAACGGTGAAGCGCATGTTACTAAGGTATTCCTTATTAACTTTTATCCATAACTCTTCCCCTTCTAGGCCTCTGAAAATCTCCTGTAAGCTCGCGGTAAATAACATTGGGGCGAATGTATCCCCTTGTCTTATACCCTTCTTGATTGGTATTCTGTCGCTTTGTTTATGGAGCACAATGGTGGTAGTTAATCCTCGAAATTTTTCTTCCATGATGTTTATATATGTTTTGTTGGCCCCCTGATTCCGCCGCGTCTGCATGACTGCTGATATCTCTACTGATATTTCTACCCCAATTCGTGAGTACTGTCAAAGATAGATCCCAATACATGTACGCGCACCACAGTGCCGCTTCTGCGCCAATAAAATAGCTACCCTGTACCACACAGTATGGGAATGTCGACACAACTCCTTTGCAACCCGGGACACAACGCAACACGGAAGCATGAGAGGCCGCTCTGTCCACCTCGAGTCCGAAGACCTAAGAGGCCCTCGGAAAACGTGCGAGGACCGTGGCCCGCTCCTATGGGATCCTAGACTAACCCCAGTATTCTAGAACGGACCTTCACTCAACGCTTCACCTTCACCTGAGAAAGCCGATGGGAGTGCCATCTCTAAGAACGGCAAGGCACTACATATCAGAGATAATTTACTGCGATTCTTGAGTACGACAGCGTCATTTTCAGCCGAGCAATGGCGCAGTGCTCAATTCTGTCAAGTGAAGGGTGAAAGTCGACTCGATAAGCGTTTGTGAATACGGGGGTAAGAATACTACTAAGCGATGTACTCGCGCAGCAAATCATATTTAACGTTGTATTTTTATTGTAATTAGAATCCCGTTCCTCAACACTTGCCGAGAAACATGCAAATGCGGGGCCAATTTTTATTGAAAAATTTACATGAAAATTACCGGAGATATGTGTTTGTTTTCTTACGAAGCTTCTTTATATTGCTGAATACATTTCTGGTAAAGCCCATACACGCTATTGCTGCTCATAATAGGATTGTGCTGATAAGGAAGGCATCGCCAGTTATTCTTGCCTAAGATTGCGCACATGTGCAAACTGTCTGCAGTGGATTCACCATTGTTCAAGGAACGTCGTATGTCATAGATACTCTGATACAAACTTTCGCACTGGTACAACCAACTGTTTCTTCTTGAACATTTCCACGAAACAGCAGAAGGCAATCATTGTTTTGGACAACAAGTCGAAACAAAGCTTAAAATAACAACGTTAAATGTCTTCTAGTAGCCATATGCTACATTTAAAGGTGCAACCATGTGTGATACGCGTTTATTTCTCGTTTTCTCAGTGTGCGTCAGCAGTGCAACAATGATAATACGGGACGTAGTTTTTGTAGTTGTTCTTACCACGACTTATATCTTGCAATATGGCTTTTCGATATTTATAAAGGAAAATGAATTGAAAGAGGTAAGGTCAAGTTTTATACCTCAATAGGTCTCTTTAATTTACCAGTGGGTTTTACGATTACCTTAACAATCACTATGATTTTACATGTTGTTCACTGAATTTGTAAAACACGCAGCCTTGAAACCTATGCCGCGGCATACGGTGATGTAAAATGGGTCGACTCTATGCTGCTTTTCTTTTCATAAATCATTCAGGACATGTAATATGTATTTAAGTGGAAATATATTTTTTTCTTAAACATCAATTACGCTGTTTGTTGCAAACGCGAAGTATTGTGTTTACACAACTTTTTGTATGCTTGCTGTGCTATGCTATCTTAGGTTGTTGAAAACGTGGCTTAGAGTATTGTACAGGGCACGTGGCACGTATTATAAAATAGCACTTGAGTGTTAGCAACACATTGAAGATCTTCGTGCATGGTCATTGCGTCGAACGAAACTGCCCACTCGACGCAATATGATTGTAGAGAAGTTTTGTTTTCGCTACTCTGCATCTGGAGTACTGACATAGTATTGCGGCCCTTGCAAAAATCTGAAAATATATATAGGCAGTGTGTAGTGACTTTTCAAAGAGCAGTCATTTGTTTCGCTTGCCTGTTCATTTCAAATTGTATAATGCACTTGTAATGTTATTTTAAAACATACTGAAAAGGGTCACACTGCTGCGTACGTAAAACGTACTGGTATATAGTGAGCATCAAGTCATTTTACTGATCGTGAGTCACCTGACTAACTCGTCTTTCTCAGGACGGTCTCGTGCATTTTCATGCGATGCAAAAACAAAGTGCGCATGTCTATTCTGTCTTGTCCTTAATAGTGCTAGCAGGCTCAAAATTATCTCCCGTTGGCACTTTCAGGTATTCAGTAATGTTAGTCATCTGCATTTCATATGTTTTTCAGTTAGAGTACTCGATAACACATCACTTGTATCAGGCTGTATATTTGCTGGTCGTATGCAAAATTGGCCGAGGCGGTAGGTCAAGTTGTGCGCTTCATGAGACATTCAAGACTTTGTCGTTAATAATCTTTCGCATACCACCTGTACGCATCCAGTCTACAAGAACAGGACCGTTGCTTTCAGTCAGCAAAATAAGCGGATTATATTAGCTACTATTCTTGTGATGAAATCTGAATGACAACCAAATAATGACCGGGCCAACTAAAGTGTAGCAGAAGTTACTTCAAATAGTTATGTGATAAATCTGAAGGAAATTAGGTAGTTGTATAGAAATCTTGCTGCCGGCACTAAGCGAAAAGTTCGAATAACGCGAAATTTCAATCCTCGATCTTTTTTCTGGTTCTCATAACGACAGACAGCCACACACAGGGATGCATGTGTGTTTGGCTCTTCCTCTTTGTCCGCCGTCTTCACGCCTGTTTTCACGCGACAAGCAGAAGGTTTTCCAACAGATGCAAAGTCTTCGAGGTATGGCGTGATATAATTTATGATGTTAAGTTTCGATGAATGGACAACTTTATTAGAAACCCTCGGAAAGCGCACCTGCTCATACAGGGCGAATCTCACGACAGAACAAAAAGGCGAAGCCTATGCTGCGTTGCGAGACCACTGAACTGTGCGTAGGTCTTCTTCGACTCTGGAAATGTTATTAGTAGCCTGCCATCACGAAGGCGTGATGATTTCGGCCAATCATAATACAGGGCACCGCCATAGAACATGCTATAAACTGGCTATCAGACGCATACACCTTAACATTAGGATTACAAAATGCTAGAACTGACACGAATAAAAATTACCGCCGCTTTGCGATGCCAGGGTACAGTGGTTGTTCTGTTTTAAAGAACGCCTTCCTTTTTTTCCCCACTTCTTAGAAGTCACCAAAGCATCCCAAGCATGCCCTCTTTCGATATGAACATGGCGTCTATGACATATTGTATAGATGTGTCGCTGCAAACACGTTGTTTTGTTTTCGAAAAACAATATACAGCAATATCACTAAAATGTACAATGAACAATCGAAATGTTTGCGTAATGCCCTAAACGCATTATCGATGAGTGTTAGTGCAAACGAAATGAGCAGCTGCCCTACTTCTTGAGGAGGAACGCAAATGTGCATGCAGACAATCCGCCTCAGTAGCCTTCGCTGTAATGTCAACGCATGTCATCGCCGATTATATGAGGTAACTAGAACACTTCTCAAAACATTCTGAAATTTTGTGATTAGAATTGGATGCCTGAGGGAAGGGGCGACAGCTTCGCAGGCCGACACGTTTAAGGGAGTACAGTTGGGATGTCGCATTTTCCCATACGAATGGCAGTTTCACAGCAGCGTTAGCCTGCTGCATAATGGAAATTATTTACTTGTCTACTTCTGTCGACCATCAGATACCACCGTTGTGCTATAAATTTTTTTGATTCTATTGTCGCAATAGCAATTATGTCAACACCAAGCAAGCTTTGCCTGCCAGCATTAAAGTAGCTCTGCCCTATTTATTCGTACGTGTATATGGCACGTAAGCATTAAAGTAGCCCTGCCCTATTTATTCGTACGTGTATATGGCACGTAATGGTTGCCCAGCAAACTCGCGCCAGAGTTTGCCTGTGTTTCCACCCTAACGATACCTCAAACGGCACCGAACGGCCAACCACATCCGCAGCGCCCACCAATATTGCTCAAGGTTTAGCTTTCATAGTTGTGCGATTGTCAATTAAAAAAAGCGAATATTGCGCATATCTTTGGCGCCATAGCAACATGTCTGTGTTTTCAATGTCTGCCTTTACACTAGAAAAGGACACACACACAACACTCTAAGGGCTATAGCGTGTAAAGCGCTGTGCTGACACTGCAACGCGATGCTCAAGAAGGTGTTTCCAACGCTTTGCTACGACGGCATGGTGGTGGCACCTGCCCGTCGCTTTCCATTCTACATCTTATCACCTCCGTGACTTTCTCCGCGGTCGCGCATGCCTTCGTTTTCGAAGATAACTGCCAGATGGCGATCGCGTTTAACGTGCCTAGAAGCGCTTGTTCGCCTCCGTTACACGCTCTAGGCACTCTAACGCAGCGCCTTCAAAATACCATTCACCGATTTTCTTGCGCCGAACATCCAATAAACGTCTTGTTCACTCTCTCCAGACGCAAGACTATCGTCTTGCGACGACATTTACTGTGTAACACGTAGGTTCAGACCAATTTTTTTTTCGGGGACTTATTCGGCAGCAGAAGCGTGCGCCGCGATAATTTCACCCTGGGAGAGGAGGTTGGTGAACGTGCGCGCTGCTATCCTTGCGACGACCTGCAGAACTGTTTGTTTTCCGCCGCGGGAGGAGAGCGCATGTGCCCGCGGCGCCCGAGGTCTCCGAAGGCACCCGGGTGTCGTCTGATACATCTACCACTCGCCGATTCAAATATGCTCCTGAACAGCAATGATCGTTGATCGCCGGCACGGTTTGCCAAAACAAAATGAAGCAATTAGAGCATCTTAGTCCCCGCATTTTTATTTATATATGTTGGATCAGATGCTCTTCGGAAAACAAAAGGAATGAAGTGGTAGAATAAAAAAAGCAGACGATCTCTAATCGTAGCAAGGCGCGTGCCTAATATCACTCATGCGCAGCTTGAGGATGAATTTCGCACGTTCTTCGATATACCAGGGGGGGATAAACAACAAGAGGGAAGGCAGGGAGGTTAACAAGGCACATGCCCGGTTTGCTACCCTACGCTGGGGGAATAGGAAGAAGGCATAAAGGTGATAGAGAGAGAGGAAAGAGAAGAGAAAGAGAGAGAGAGAGAGAAAAAAGGAGGATTGTCAGTCGATCGGCTGGTGCGTATGCAGCGGTGGCACTACACAAAAGTTAAAGGTGGTCACATAGGCCTGTAGTCCTCAAAAAGCACAAGACAGCTTTGACTGCTTTTTGAGCTGACGAAAGGCGATGACGGTGTTCCAGTAGCATCTGCACAGAGAGTGGCCGATCGTCCAATTGTCACAATGCGTCCGAAAGCTTCTGTCTTTCAGAGGAAAATTGAGGACACTGGCATATCAGATGGTCGATGTCTTCTTTGGTGCAGCAGACGTCGCATTCCGCATTGTCGGTCAATCCGATGAGGGTTCTATATGGTTTTGTGAAGGCAACCCCCCACCAAAGGCGACAAAGAAGTGAAGCTTCACGTCGACGAAGTCCGGATGGAGGTCGAAGTTCCAGTCGAGGGTTTATTTGGTATAGTCTCGTATGTCTTATGCTTGGGGTGTTCCACTCTTGCAGACTCAGACTACGTGCCAGGTGACGAAGTTGCTTTGCAGCGTCAGTCCTTGACAAAGGAATCCGAAGGGTGTGTTCTTCTTGGTGCGATGTGCGAGCCGCGTTGTCTGCGGAATCATTGCCACTGATCCCACAGTGGCCAGCAAGCCACTAAAACTTGACCTCGTGGCCTGTTTCTGTGACGTGGTGAACAAGCTTGACAACTTCGTGAGTTAATTGATCATGGCAACCTCGTCGAAGGACTGACTGCATGCTCTGTAGGGCTGGTTTTGAGTCGGAAAACACAGCCCACTTACTCGGTCTTTGGGATTTGATGTACTCTAGGGCGCCACGCAAAGCCGTAAATTCTGCCACCGTGGACGTAGCGACATGTGACAGTTTAATTCGCAGAGTGATTACTCTAGCTGGAATCACCACCGCACCACCAGAACCAGACGCTGTGGTTGAACCATCGGTGTATATGTGCACGTGGTTCTTGTACATTTCGTGCAGATGGCTCAAGCCCAATTTTTTTAGGGCTGATGAAGGCAAATTTGATTTTTTCTGTATTCCTGAAATTGAAACACATACTTGCGGAAGTGTAAGGCACCACGGAAGATACACCAGTTTCTCAGCAGGCGTAAAACCTGACGTAAACGACGCACGATGAGCACAGACAATTGCATTAAATTTTGTGCGGGGCCTTTCAGTAGCGAGGGTTGCCAAGTGGTGGGAAGGATTCCTAGCATGTTGCCTGAGGTACGTACGCATCGTTTCAATGGTGATGTGCGTCATGATCGAGTAGTCCTGTGCAATGGCAATTGTTTCAGCTGTCGATGCGCAGCGGGGTAAACCAAGGCATATCCTAAGCACTTGGGGTTGAATATTTTGGATTGTGCTCAGGTTCGTTTTGCACGTGTTAGATATAACAGGTAGGCTATACCGCAGGAATCCAGTAAATAATACCTTGTACAGCTGTAACATAGACTCGACAGACATTGCCCAACTTTTCTCAGCAAGAAACCTGAATAAGTGGCAAATGTCAGTCAGCTGCTTTTTCACGTAGTTTACGTGGGGTGTCCAAGACAGGTTTTGGTCGATTGCGACTCCCAAGAACCTGTGACTCCGGCTGCATGACACCAACTGCCCGTTAATTGATATGCCCTAAGCGGACATTGGTTTTCTGGTGAAAGCCACGACTGCACACTTCTCACTTGCGATTTCAAGCCCTTGTTTGCGTAAGTGGTACGATGTCACTGATGCTGCCTTCTGAAGTCGAGCGCGAAGTTGAAGTCGAGTCACACCTGATGTCCACACACAGATGTCATCAGCAAAAATGGAAAGTCGTACACTGCTTGGTTGCTTGCCAACTAGTTCAATGAGTGTTAAGTTGAACAGCGTCGGGCTTAGCACTCCGCCTTGCGGGACCCCTCGGCTGCAGTAATACTCGGGTGTCGGGCGATTCTCTGTCTGCACGTGAAATTATCTATTCTGTAGGTATCTCTGAACCCACGTATATATCCTGCCACCGAGTCCCACTCCTTCTAGTGCGCTGAGAATGGCTTCATGGGTGACATTGTCGTATGCCCCTTTAACGTCAAGAAACAGAGCAGCCGTTAAGAGGCCCTCTGGTAACCGTTAAGAGGCCCTCTGGTGTTCTGCATAGGTCACCAAGTCAACTACATTGTCAATTGACGAGCGGCCTGAGATGTCAAAGGGTGACTCGCCGGCTTTGAGAAGTGGAATCACGTGACTTGACTTCCATTCCTGTGGAACTATGCCAGTTTGCCAGGAGTCGTTGTACAGCTGCAAGAGTGCCGGCCGAGCTTGATCTCCTTGGTGACACAGAGCGCGGTAAGTGATGCTGTCAGGTCCTGGCGCTGAAGAACGTCTACACAAAGCAAGCGCAGCCTTTAGTTCATCCATTGAAAACGAAATCTCCATTCGGGGATCACGTGAGGATACAGAAAAGTCGGGCATCTTTGTCCTAGTTGAAATTGAGGCGCAGACAATCCTTCGACAGAAAGAATCTGCGACATCAATCTCTTCGCAGAGTAAGTGAAGTGCCAGAGATTTTAATGGGTAGCGCTGAGTAATGGTTGTACGAAGACCCCGGACAGTTCTCCAGATTAGTGACAGAGGTTTTTTGGGATCCAAAGACTCGCAAAAAGATACCCATCGTTGCTTGTCCAACTTGTCTATGTGACGCTGTATTTTCTTTTGTGTGCGTCTGGCCACTCTGAGATCAAGTGACCTCGTGCGTCTATAACGTCGTTCTGCACGACGACGAATCGCTCGGAGTTTCTCGAGATCAATGTCCATATCAGTGCGAGATGAGCTCACAGGAAGCGAACACGTCGTTGACTGTAGGGCACTCTTTATTGCGTCCTCTAGGTTGAAAGGTGAGGCGCCAACATAGTATTCCATAATTAACTTGTATTTTTGCCAATTGGTGCACTGGACGACTCTGGAGGACTTGAAACTTGGAAAGCCGTCAATATTCAGGTATGTTGGAATGTGGTCACTGCCCCTTGTTTCCAAATCCGAAAACCAGTGCACTCTGCGTGTGAACGAGCGTGAGACAAAAGTGAGGTCCAGGCAACTGCTATCGGCCGATCCGCGCAGATAAGTAGGGCTGCCGTCATTCACGAGGATAAGTTCACATTCAGAAGCGAAATACACTACCCGTCTACCTATAGTGTTGACCCTGGAGCTTCCCCATAAGTAGTGGTGGGCATTGAAGTCACCCGTTATCACCCATGGCTGGAAAGTTGAATTCGAAATTCCGCGCAAGCCCTCACGGTCTAGGCGACTTGATGGATGTAAGTAGGCTCCGATGATGGTGAATGTGGTCTTCTTGTTTCTAACTGTTAGGCAAACGTACTGCTTTTCTTCGTCAGGGGGTACAGGGTGATGAACATAAGTTAAGGCGTACCGTATGAACACAACGACCTTGCTGCGCTCTCCGTGGGTAGAAGACATAAAGCACTCATATCCAGACAGTCTCATCTGAGCTGACAGGTTTGGTTCACAAATCACAATTATGGAGAACTGGTTCGTGAATACATATAGCCGGAACTCGGACATACGCGCCCTAAGTCCTCTGGCGTTCCACTGAAAGACAGATGCGTTCTTGACCTCCTCTCGAAAGGATAACATGTTGCGGGCCATCGTTTTACCTTAGAGCTGCAAGCACCGGACTCAAAGTGTCCAGCACTTGGAGTGCGCTCTGCGCTGATGGGGTGTTCATTTTGCTTAGGAGCATGCGCATTGTGCTCATAAGGGTCTGCAACATGTTGATGACCTGGCGGTCCTCAGTTGTCTTTTCATCAGTGGTTCGTGATGGCATCGAGGTTGGCGGGGATCGATGTACCTCTGAAACAGGCTGTGTTCGTGGAAGTGATGGCCACTCTTCACGAGGTGGGAGTCTTGACCCTGATTATGTTTTCGGTGTATCCGTCTTCATAGAGCTTGACGATGGGGGGCCAGCTCTTCTTGCTTGAGATGACGGGTCTTCATCGGCAGATGTCACGTTGCGTGATGATCTTCTGTGGTGACGCCGACGTCGCCTGACAGTAGCAGTGGCTTTCCTGTGCGTTGAATTGTCGCGCACGATGCGTTTCAGTGCCGCATGTTTATTTCTCACTCGTGGGCAATCTTTAGACGACGCTTTATGAGCGCCGTGGCAATTGGAGCATTTGGAGGCAGTTGCGGGGCAGGTGTCTTCTGAATGAGGTTCGGCACACCGCGGACACACGACATTGCTGGTACATACTCATTTGACATGTCCCATCTTGAAGCATCTGAAGCATTTTAGGGGCTTCGGTATGTATGGATGGACCTGACGGCAAACGTGACCAACTTTGACGTGTGGGGGAAGACTGTCTCTCTCAAAAACAATCTTCAGGCATCGTGACTGTCCAAGCCTTGTGATGCGCTTGATGAGGATGTCACCTGTAGTTGGCTTTATCAAGATTGGGAAATCGTCAGCGGGAATGGAAATGTCCACGTCATAAATGACGCCAACATTGCCCTTACAGTCAGTGGGGATTACTGATTTAACTGTGACTCTGTCGATTTCCGAGATGTTCTGTAGGCTTTGCAGCGCGCTACGGTGTAGAACATCAACTGCCAGAACATTCTTCCTTGAGCTGATCCTGACGTCTTTAATTTCATTTGGAGCGAGTCCTTTGAGGTATGCAGAAAGTACTTGCCTGTTAAGTCCCCGTAGGTTGGCTGAAGGGTCCACAGCCATAAAGAGTATAGTGTGGGGCCAACGCTGCGCGTTAGCCTGCACGGTGGATATACTCGTCGTCGACAATGTTCGTAGCAGTCTTCTTTTTGCATTGCGGCTCATGACGACTGTGTAGTCGTCATCCGATGACTCGAAACAGTCGGAATAGAGCTCCGTTGCCTCGCTGTCTGTGCCACTTGAGGTGGTCCCACGTTTCCTAGCCGCTGCCAGACGTAGCGGTTGTCCACCTCGAAAATCCTGAGAGGCTTCTTCATCCAATCTCGCAAGGAGGGAGCGGCAGCTCCCAGAATTTGCGGTAAAACAAATAGAAAGTTTGAGACAAGGGTACAAGCGTTCAATGAAATAGACACTTCGTCGTCGTCCTCCATACCAGCGCCATAAAAAAACTACTGCACGTGAAAGAAAGACAAACATTAATGAAGCACGTTTGAGCAGACGTCGATTGATTTAACAATAGAGCGGAGAATGCCTCGAGCTGTGAATCAATACTGCATAAAAAAAAGTTAGATCTTTCGAAGCTCCGTCCGACCAAGAACAGCAGCGATAATGGGCGAGGGCTATATCTACAATGTGAAGGAAGCGACAGCATGTATAAAAATTATTTTCGCAGCGAAACGGTCGCAGCTGCGACACTACGCTAAGCTTAAATTTCCAGATATCCCTGACTAGCCAAAGTTCTTGTAGCTTCCTGAAGGGGCTCTTTTCGTATTTGAACGGAGATTTTACTGACCTGTGCTCAGAAATGAAGCCAAGAAGTAGCCATAATATCACTGAAAACTGATAAAAGCAGCGCCAAACGAGCGAATTTAGAGGATACTCGTCACGAGTTAAAAGTCCTCGGTGAACATTTTACCAACCTCGAAAAAGTTTTACGTGTTTGGTTGGTGTAGCTTCGCATGAATGATTGGCTTTTTGAAAGTTACAAATAAAACTAGCTTCCGAAGAAAGCAGACACACGAGAAAAACTTTTTCCTCGTTTTTTGGTTAGTAATTTTAAAATTTTTCTTTATTATGAAAAACTCTCCTGGTATGTGTTTTTTCATTAGCGCAAATTTCATGCCACGTTCCCAAAAATATTATTTGAAGTGAACGTTTCCAAAAGCTAGCCCGCTTTTTTTGTAGCAACCTATTATTCTTACGTCAGTATAAGTGTGGTCATTATATTTCACGTCTTCTTAGCTGTAGCTCTAATATAAAAATAGAATAAAACATAGCAAACTTCAAAAACATGAACAAATTATATGGGGCATAATTTTGGTTTACTTCTCTTTTAGTTCTTAAGCACAACTGATCCCATATGGACGTACAACACGAGCAGCAAATGGGACAACCACTGGTGTGTGGTGGATGTTACAGAACGACTTCAGGAAGAAAGTCTTGTATACCAACATACCTACTATGTGAAGTTCCCGCAAAAGCAGAAGTATACAAAAATTTTACGAGGCGTTGCGCTGCACTGCTAATTGTCATTTTCTTATGTCCAGGACTTCCGTCAAAATGCATGGCGTTTTTAAATACCAAAACAACATGATTACTGGCAGAAAAGGTAATCAGCAACATCTGAAATTACTTGTTCCGATACCCCTTACAAAAACTCGTGTTGTAGCGTTTGTACGCTTATATAGCCGTATATTCTCGCAAAGTTATTATTAATTTGTACACATGCACTCGAAACATACAGCCCTTGTAAAAATGTTAAACACTATTTTCTTACGAAAGATGAGAATACCACAGTAAATGTGTGTTGACTCACAGAAATAATATTTTTTTTTTTCGGGTGGTCTAACGTTCAGCGCCCTCGTAGAATGGTCCTCTCCGGAAGACGGGCATCCCATGGAGGGCTGAACATGGAAATTTATAATGAGCCAATAGTTCCAAATTACGAACTTTTATAAAAAATCTAGGCATATTTATCGACCACCAAGCTCCGAACTCGACAGATTCGAAGGGGTATATAGATTAGACACAATTATGAATTCGAATCTTGCCCAACTCGATTCATCTTAAAAATATATATCCAAATGCCTATTCAGATGATACTTGCAAATCGTCCGGCTGGACTCACGCATCACTTATGCACATTCTCTGGGAATGTGCAGTTTTAGCAAAAAAAAATGCAGTCTCCAAAGATGAGGCTGCGGTGCAGTGGGCGGCTGCGCTGCTTAGCTCCAATACTCAAGATCAGCTGTGGCCATCCAGGAAGCCCACGAGGCGGCGAGGAGACCGGGTCTCCAGTCCTCCTCGGGAGAGACCTCCTCCCAGGCCATGAATTTGCCGGAGTTGTTAATAAGGATGTTACCACCACCAATTCGGGTGTGGTGCACAATACAGCCCAAAATTTTCGATGGCTTTTAGATGGGTTGGCGTACTCTGAACTCGGCAGTGATAGCATTCTAACAGTTGTCTATGTGGACACTAGAAAACCGAAATAGGAACCACAACTAGTGTTGCCAATTGTAAAGTAATTACGCAATCTGCAGGGCATATTCAAAATATTTCGGCAAGCATGGGTTAATAGGGCAATAATACATTTTTTTATCATGTGTAGGGTATTTTTCACTTTTCGCTGGTCATCAATAGGCGAAAAACGTAGATGACTGATACATGTCGGAGAGTAACGTTCTTAAATTCATAAGACGAATGAATATATTGCTTTGAATAAAAGCTTCATTGTTCGAACTTACATGTCGCCAGCACAGCACACAAACGAGAGGTAACACGTCACTCGCCCCTGCGCTATAGAAATATTGATTATGAATGGCGACTGCTATCAACTTCTTGCTTGCTCTGCTTTCATGTGTGAAGTGTGAACGCTACATTTTATGCATACGGTAAGCACATTTCAAGTATATTTTGTGTTTATATGTGTAAACATTTATGATTCGTTTTTATATGTATACCACCTTTCAATGTGAGTGATATCTAAAAATCGCTTTGTGGCGCTTGTCAAGTGTATGCTATTGCCATGTACGGAAACCTATAGGGGTCATCATCAAGCTGATGCAGCAGGTTTTCGCCCAGGTGACCCTTCAAAATTTTTTAGGTAAATAAAATTGTTCGTTCATTGCGTGGAAAGGCCTCCGAAGACGGGCAAAATCGACTTAATGTAATTTTTCGATTTTTATGGCACGACGTTTCAGCATTTACAAGTGTTTCTACTATATGGCGTGTGCATTAGCGCAACAAAAACACTTAAACTGACGCCAAGCGCGCCTGATACTGGGACGGCACCCATTAAAGGCGCGAGTTCTGCCGAGGCATTGTCATTGTGAATGTAAGAGCATGCAATATTGTTTATATGCATAGTTATTTAAAGTGGAAGTACATCGACCTAGATAGGCTGTAACAACTGTCACTTTTCAGTGTACTAAGGTCGTGATAGTCACTGAAGTTTGGGTGTGAAAGTTGATATCTGCGTTTCCGTTGTTACTCAACCTGCATTATGCAAGCGGGTTCTGCAATTCTTGCCATGTAGGGCAGCGTACAGTTGTGATTTGTTCCACCAACGCATCGAGAACACCTCAATGCTGTCGTTTTCAGCTAATACGCGCAAGAAGCTAAACTTTTGGAGAAGCAGTACCTCCAAGTACACAGTCAACACACCGAGATGAGACCAGTGAGTGCTAGCGTTGCCTAATTTTGAAGTGCTAAGCAAGATTTATTTTTGGTTTGCATGAGTGTGAAGTATCCTGAATAACGCATGATACAAATTTTCGGGGAATAATATGAACTATGACAAACGTTTCACAGCTGGGGCATTCTATCTTGACTTTACGGCAACACAGACTTGAAATGGCGTTCTCTTCGAAGCACTCCTTTTCGTATAAAAACAAATATTTTCTCTGTAAGCACTGCAGCTATTAAGTGCACATTTCTGTTATTTTATTTAAAACAACATACACCTTTTATGAATAAGTAAACATGATGTTGCCCTCTGAATTTCAGGTGTACAAAAATTGATTTGAAAAGAAAGCCTAGAAATTCTAGCCATCAAAGTTCAAAATTTTTACAACATGCTGAGATATGCAGAGACGCTTTTAGGTTCCGGTTGTTTCGAGAAAAACAAGCACAGCGCTCCTCAGAGGAAGATATCTAGGAGTGGAGAAAGACGCGAGTGTCATTCGTAGCGACATGCAGTCCTTACCTACTGACGGCATCTATACTCCACCATTTGAGAAGCGTGAATTCAAACAAAGCTAGGACCCCAAAACTTCTCAGCGAATCATTTTACGTTGACAATCTGGTGGTTGGAGCACAGTCAGATGAGAAAGTACTTCAAACCTGCAGAGAAGCTAAAGAGATTATGCAGCAAGCAGAAATTACACTGAGGAAATGGACGACTAACTCGAATGGATTGATTATAGTATTAGAACACAATAAACAAACGACAAGCAAGGAACTGGCTTTAATTTATGAGGCAGTGTGAAAGTACTTGGAATTACATAAAATTCAGACAGAGATAATTTCCAGGCTACCGAAGTTACCGAAGTTTGCTAAGAAATGCTTCGCATTTTGAACTTTCTATGACGACATGGTTACACTGACATGGGGGAGATTAATAACCGAGCGTCGATAAGTGGCCATGCGGCGGGAAAGTACCGCCACAAAACAAATTATTCATATTGACGGTTGATAACAGCTAGAGAAACAGTGTCGTCATTGAGGGCGTTGTCGAAGTCAATCCTAGATGTGGTATATAATTTTAAAGTCAACCGATCAGCTGAAAACAATTGGCTACACCCGACTGCTGCACCTAAAGTTGCAATTGGGATCACATATATTGGTTATGTTTTAGGCAAAATAAGCTAGTGGCCCATTAGAATTCATTTCCTCCCAAACTGAAAGTTCATAATTACTTCTTTTTGATTTTTCAAGCAGCAATGAATTTGAATGTCCTTTACATTTCAGAAACCAGTTGCTTGACATTCCCATCCAGCCGTATATGCTTTTTCTTTCCCAGAGTAAAGTGACGTTGAGTTCTGCTAAGCTCTGCTAAGAGCTTTGATTGCACGAGAGCGATCGTGTAGAAAATATTCTGAATGTGTCAATAAGCCCTAAATGATAGTTTTTCTGTGAAAACGCTCGATCAATACGCATTTATTTTAATTAACAAAATCACAGCATATTCACGGAATGAATGATGATGAGTGGGGCGAAGCATCCATCAATCAGTCCATGCTTTCGGCCGTGCGTCCGTCCGTCCGTACGTACGTCAATTCGTGCGTCCGTTCATGCGTCCATCCTTTCATGTGTCAGTCCATCCGTACGTGTGCCCGTTCATGCGTCCATCCATGCATCTGTCTGTGCGTGCGTCCGTGCATCCAGTCGCCCGTCCAATCGTCCGTTCGTGTGTCTCTCTGTCCGCCCGTGCGTCCGTCGGTCCGCCCATCAAGTGAACACTTCAAGTACCGCCATCTCGCGTTTTTTTATTATATATTCATCATATACAAGTACCGTCATCTAGCGAACAATCCAAGAGCTTAACGAGAGTATGTGCCACATTTCTGCTGTCAGCGCTTTGTTAACACTGAGAGCGTGATAACGACACCGTGCTACAGTTTTCGTGACATATAGACGTGTGGATATGCACCCAAGGGCAGGTATGTGTCACTGGTATTTGGGTATGTGACACAGGTTAAGCACTACGACAACAGATAACGTATAAGTCACTCCATAAGGAGCTTCGCCCCTAAAAAGTTTTTTTTTTCTGATTCCAACATACGTGAAGTAGTTGGGCAAGACGTCTGACATGAATTTACTTTTTTATGAATATTCCCCTGCGATAGCTTTTCAAGCGCTGAAAAGTGACAAAACTTACTTTCCTTTTTTTCAGATTCTAAAGTCTTATTTAAAAACCATCTTACATATCTTGATTCAGAAAATGTATGTGCTGTCATCCGTGTTTCTCCAATGTTTCACACTAAAAGTTAGTATGCAAATTTTTTCTAGATAAAACTGTAGAAATCATTTACTTGGCAACGTTGCTCTTGGTTAAACAATCAACTGGATCATCATTACCCTATTGAAAGAGTTCTTTGTACACAGACATTGTAAGCCATTAAAGCGCACTTGATTTCAATGTAAGTCGATTGCACAAGCCTGCATTGTTTATGGTTACTTTAGAGGGTAAATATTACACGTGGTGCCCACATAATGTTTAAATATTTTGTATTTTTTAGCATTCAAAACAAAATGGTCACTCGGTGTTAGAAATTCCAAGAATGCTGCATCTGTAATATACAGCGCATACATAAAAAAAATTGACCCAGCTACACACTACTGGTGTGGCGACTGGAGAAAGTGTGCAGCTGGTGGCTCTTCCATAGACACTTCCCTTTACTCACCTTCACATGACTTCCACTCACTAACAGTTCTGTTCCACACCCCCTTTCAATACTGCAGTATACACGAGTACCTTGTGCTTTTAAATCTTTCATTCTCCTCCTCACTTTCCTTGCCCACCCGATTGCTTACAGTTGTACTGTAAGTGACTATGTATGCTTTATTTCTCTTTTCTGGTTTCATTTTCTTGTTGTCTTCAAGTTTTCCTGTTTTCCTTTCACTGTTTTCTTTTTTCTCCCTTTCTTTGTATTTATCTAACTTTTTTCTTTCGCCCGCCTATAGAAACGCTATCATAATATTCTCAGGCAGTTTTTTTTTCTGGTAGGGTGATTTAAATACCCTTTAGTCAAGGATACTCGCCTTCATGCTGTAGACCCCAGGTTTTGATCGTTACCTGCTCCTCTCATCCTTCATTCCGTCTTACAACGCGTCGCTACTGGACGCATTGAGACCTCATTCCTTTAAGAGCTTAGTCTGAAGATAATTCGTAGCCAACCTCCTGAAAGCACAAAGTGCTTCTCAGTATTCCTTCAAAAATTTGGAAAAAAACATCGTATATTTCTTCTTAACGGCGTTGATTTTTAGTCACGCTTAAGTCCTACTGTTTTCCGGCATAAAACCTAATTTTTAAGGAGGAACCACATAAGGAAGAACCACAAGGAGGAACCACAAGAGCGTGGAAAGCCAATTTTGCCACGCCAAGCGACGAATAGCCAAGAAGCGAATATAGTTATAGCATGGGGATGGGAAATATAAGTGAGGATTAGGGATACTGCGACAGAAGCAAGGGTGCTTTTACTTAAAAAAATGGCAGATTTCACGTACAGTGGGAATGAATGATATGAGAGGCAAAAATGAGGGAGGTTGCTGTAAATATCACTTTAAAATCAGCACAACGTTATCAGGCGGACACAAGTTATGCTGTATATGACTTTTAAATGATGATTATTATGTTTAGACGTGTCATTCGCCTTCGTCGTCTATTCATGTTACTTGATACCAAATTTGATATATGTTGAGCTAGTGAAACGGCTGCGAGCACGCTATGAGCGCAGCATGAAGTAATGTTTTCAATGACACACATATCATGATTATCATGTTTGCACCAGTCACATATCTTAGTCATTGATTAACGTTCCGTAGTACTAAATTTAGTATATGCATGTGAAGCTCACGAAACGGCTGCCAGCGTATCTTGAGAGTGGCAAGTAGTCACGACTCAGGACTTACATAAAATGCATGTCATGATTCTCATGTTAGGGTCTGTCACTTCTGTTCGCCATGCAGTCATGTCATACCATACCAGTTTTGCAACATGTCATGCGAACGAAACCATCGGAAGAGCAGCATGACCACGAAATCTAAAACATGACATTCATGGCATACATGTCATGATTTTCATGTTATGACTAGTCAAGTAAGCTCGTCATACAGTCATGTTATCTCATAGCTATTTTTGTCTTGATACCACTATCGAAACGGCCAGGAGCGCTAAAAGTCGTAGGTGGATAGATAGATAGATAGATAGATAGATAGATAGATAGATAGATAGATAGATAGATAGATAGATAGATAGATAGATAGATAGATAGATAGATAGATAGATAGATAGATAGATAGATAGATAGATAGATAGATAGATAGATAGATAGATAGATAGATAGATAGATAGATAGATAGATAGATAAAGCTTGCTGCACGTTTCATGAGTCAAATGAGGTTGCTCATAGGTTGTTTCTGCGCTTTTACTAGACGATGATAGGTTATATTGAGGTTAGTGCGATGCTTTCGTAAGGTAATACTAGGTGCCTTCTAGGTTCCTTATTGTTTTTTTTTCTAGGCTTTACCTATGTTCGTCTACGTCAATTTTAGATTACTTTTACGTTGTTGCTAGGCAAGAGTTGGGTGATCTACGCTGCTGCTGGATTGCTTATAGGTTGTTTCCAGGATTGAGCTAGAATTAAGGTTGTTTCTAGATTATTAGTTCTGTTCAGCTACAGAAGCGCGCAGCGTCACTTTAAAGCCTCGATGATTTAGTATAAGCGTCCCCATTTCTTTCCTTCTATGGCTTCCTTTCTCACACTGTCCCCTTTTCTCATTTTCTTTCCTAATTGTTCTTGTTATTTTCAACTTTTGTTTTCTCTTTCTAATAATTGCTAGTATTTGCTCTCTCACTCTTTCATATCATTTGGTTGTAGGCAATGAATCGCTATGCCTGTATGATGTATGCATTAGTTACTACCATGATCGGGACGCTTGCACGTCATGATGTCATTACTCTTGTGTTTGTTTCTTACGCACTCTTCTTGTATTGCCACTGCAATGCCTTGCTTGTAAAAAGTTTGTATCTTTTCCACTCCTGTAAAAACCTACAAGGAAGGTTGACAGTATTTTGTAAATAAATATGTAAATAAATATATAAATATATAAATAAATAAACACTCTGCTTCACAAAGCAGAGTTCTGGTATAACGATAGGACCTGCTTTACTGGTTAGTGGGCCTTGTGCAATTCATGGAGGACATACTCACCTGAGCTGTTTGGCCAAACAGAGTAGAAATTACTGATAGCTTAAACAGATTCTCTGTAATAAATACCTGAGAAAGCGGGCTGCTTCATAAGGATGATAGTTTCTGTAAGCATTGTACTCACCAAGGCTTTTACTGAAAGCCTAAAGCAGTTTTCTTTTGAAAGAGTGCGAGTCCTTGTCGAAATTCACTGACCGTTGTTTATAATCCCGCATACTTCACCGAACTGGAGAGGTTTTGTGACCATCGGTTCATAGGATAATTAATTTCTAAAGTGACCTCAGGCGCAAATATTAGAGCAAAGTGTTAATTAGTGCAACATAGGCTTTCTAGAAAACAAGGAGTATTCTATAACAGCTATTACAATATCATACAACAAATTTAACAGCGGACCAAAAAGATTGGGTGGTTTTCAAGTGCAATAGTAATTAAGCATGTGCGAAGCACGCATTAGGAAGTTTGCTATGCCCCTAATTTAAAATGAACAGATCGTTAAGAAGTAGGTGAACCTTCGCAATTCTTATACAGGCACGTTGCACATGCACGTCGCATACAATATTCAGATATACAAAAAAAGTGTGTAAATCAGGTCAGTGTTCCCTTCTTCCCATATATTGTCCGTATAGTGTTCCCTTCTTCCCGTATAGTGTCCCTGCTTTGCTTACAACTTATTTTCGTCAATTTCGGTGTCAAAGGAAGCAACAGCTCATGTTGGAGCCGGCCAGAAGGTCTTCTTCACACTGCTTACATGCACACTGCTCACAAAGAGAATGCAAACTGCTCGCCTATTTATCCTGCAGTTAGCACCATGACATTAACCATAACTTTGTTTGTGCGCATTTTATTTTGCGAAAGTATGTATTATTCTTTTTTCACGACCGTTGATACTTCAATATTTTCTTCTTTTCAGTGAAGCCTTGGCATGAGCTGCGAGTTCGGAACTCGTTCCTTGTAAAATATCGCCGTCCATCAATAACATGCGAACACTATTTTCAGCTCAAAGCAAAGCAAGGACGTCTTATCTATCATCCCGTATGCCAGAAAATTATTTTTAAAGCGCATCAAATGCCACAGAAGACCATACCATCACAGAAGCCGCATACCGCATTCAGAAACACCAGTGTTTGAATTGCTATGATAGAGTGCAAGTATTTTGTACATAAACGGTATGCTTATTCTGGCAGCAAAACGGTCTTATTTGGTCGTTTGTAGGGAAAGTGGAGGAAGCCTGCTTTACTGTGCACTTTTCTTGAATGATACAATATACTATATTCGATCACTTGGCTGAGTATTGGGCCGTTTCACGTGGCTTATGCCGAGCAGTTCTGCGAAAGCGTGAGGACCAGTGACGTCACACGACGCACAGTTGCCGTGCGGCGAAGGCCTGGTGATCCCTCGAGTGAGGTGTCACTAGTGGACTGGCGCTAGTCTCGCATGAGATCACTCGCTCACTAGTCCGTCCATCCAACCATCTGTGTTTCGTCCATCTGTCGATCCGCTGTTCGTCCGTCTATCCGTCAGTCTACCGTAACTTACGCTTGGCACGTATATTGCTATATTGTTTCAACCTTACAAGTGAGAGCATGGCTTAGATGGCGAATGTACGGAAATTCAGGGAGTAGGCAAAGACAAGTTTTAAATAGAGATTTGCGAGCATCATGTTGTCACCTGGTTCTGACGGTGAAGAAAACAAACTGGGGCAAGTCAAAGTGAACCGTTCTGTTCAGCTAACATGTGGCCAGCAAAGAGAAGTAACACCAGAATAGACAGTGTTATGGGCACGTTTACCTCACATATCAATCACTAATGAAATAACAGGTGAAGCGTGAAGCACAGACTTCGGTCATCAGTAATCAGATCGAACACGACGTGTTATATTTTTGAAGTGTCGACGATCTGAGCACTATCCTTGTGGCTAGCTTTAGGTCCAGCATCAACCAGGTTACATATGTAGGTGGCGCAATCATGAGAGAATGGTCTAAAACAATCCAGGCTTTCAATAGTTTGCGAGTTTTACGCCAGAAAACCGCAATAAAAGTATAAGAGACTCCATAGTGGAGGCTTTCGGAATTTTCTGTTTTTCCTAACTGGGTCTCAAAGCTAAGCACATGGGATTCACACGGACTTCCAGCATTTCGCCTTATTCGTACATGATCGCCGCAAATCACATTGATCTCACGCCCCCCCCCCCCCCCAGCGTTGTCGCGCGGGCAGTACCTAGGGCAGTGGTGCTCTCACGGACCCGAGCCAAGATGGGGGTTTAGACCCTCTCCCACTTGCTTGTCGACGTAAGTGCCTTTGCCACGTGCTCGGAAGGAAAGGTGCTGTGTGTGAAAACAACAGCGAGTGATTGGACCCCTTTGGCCCTAGCTTACGTGGACAGCATCCTTGGGTTGACTCATCAAGGGAGATCGTCAGTCTGCTTTTCCTATATCTCCCTCTCCAGACATTCGTCTTGAACTACTGCACGGATCGTGAATCTCGGCCTGAACCAGCCCAAGTTTAACACTCGTTCAAGTTACAGCAATCTTCAATACCGACTCGGGCCTGTCCAAATCCTGCCCGGAAACTCAAAAGCGAGACCCGGCCTCGGTCTCAACCCGACAAAAATACTTCACCCATCAAGCTCTGCGCAACTGCAGATCGGGCCACGCAAATGCCCGAACAAGTAGTCTGGGTGGTGTTGCCCGAACATGAAATCGAGAGTAAGGCGTTATAAGTAGAAAATATATACGCTTTGTTGGCGCATCCTACGTGAATGTGCATGCTCTAATTTACGGTAGGATCTTTCAGAAAACGGCCTCAATGTAGTATATAGTTGACCGGACATAGCGCGCACGTTGATCACTGTACACTATACGTATATTTCATAGCTATATAGCTACATTTACTTCTTCACTTCACCTCAACCCATACTTATCGAAGAGTTCCAGTGAGGTGCGAGCAGACAGGAGAGTGGGGCCCATAGATTGAGAGAGAGCGAACGGCAAGAGATATAGCAGTGAAGCACTGCACCTACCTCTCCTACACTCTCTCGCACCACATGCTTCGGTTGCTAGGAGCGAGGATAAGCGCGCCCACCTGCAGCTGTTGCTATAAAAGAGAGAGTGAAGCGGAGAGATAGCGCCTGCCACGGACAACGCCGGATGACTGACATAGCCCGACTAAGAAATGCATTCGCAATAAAAAAACTTCAATCATAAAATTGAACCTTAAATGACTTTGAGTTTGAGTTTGAGTTTAGTTTATTTACCACGTACAGTTGTACAGTAAGTGGCTGGGACAGAGGAAAAAAGCTGTATCTAGTGCCACGCAGGGGCTGCCTCAATGAATCGCCAGCCATCTTCGGCGACAGGAACGCCAGCGATACCATCTGCATTGAAAGTGATATGGCGGAGACTCACCAGTATCAAGTGCCACGTGACCATGTGCAACCTTATTTAAGCGCACGACTTTATGCCTTCGTGTGATTTGGAGCCGGCACGCTGGCCGACATGCAGTTAATGCCTATGTTGGTACTGCAGGTTCTTGTCGCGAAACTGGAAAGGATCCAAACTAGAGGTGACGCAGGGTTAGACGGATGGTAAACTCGACACATAAGTTGTGGTTTTTGAGTGGTTTGAGGGAGTCATGTAGTGCAGTCAGTCGATGGTGAAGAATTGAGTTATGACGCCGCTAGAGTACTTTGTTTCAGAGTGTCGCCAGGACAACGACCAGTGCCAGAGCTTGTTTCAGTGTTTCCTTGAAGAGAAATAATCGAGATACGTTCCGAAAAATCTCGAGTACATGCGTGTAGACAATATTCAAGGTCGCTAAGCTTTCTTGCGTAGCTTATAATGCGCGAGATTGCATTAGTAGTCCGTTGAGTTTGTCCCCGTGGTTTTATATACCTTCTAAGTGATTTGGTCAGTTGTAGTTGGTTTCTGCCAAGCGTGCAAATTTGTGTGATGCTTCTGCTACCTTTACTAAGAAAAAATTTTGTTTGTGTAGTAAACTTTTGGTTTTACGTCGTTTTTTTGCAAAACAACCGGTGTTGTTGATTCACCAAAAGGGCCTATAAATAAATTGTGCGAGCTTTGGTGGTGTGTCTCGGTGGGCTGATAGGTCAGTCCTTGTAATATGGCTGGCGATTGCCTCCCCATGATCGGAACTCATGACCCTTTTCATTTGTGGTGAATCGGACGGGCCGCATTCATGTAGTGTACTGAAGCCGACTGAACAAAAAATTGGCCACCCCAGGGAATCTTTTTCGCATATGTGGAGGATTAGGTACTCCCAATAACGCTTCAGGATCGAACCTGTGATGTGCTATCACGAAATGCGTTATGTACAGCCTACTCTCACGCGTAGCAATGCATGTGAACGCGTTTCTCCTGGGAGGAGTGGTGGCGCCAGAGCAGGCGCGAGGCGTCCCGCCACTTTGGCAGCGCGCAACAGGCCACATCTTATTTTCATCCTGCGGTTTTATGCAGTGGCAGTGGCTCTAAGCTATCGCGAGGGCTTCCCGCTTTTTGGCTTTTATTTGGCGCTTATAGTACAGTGGTAAGCACTGTTAGGGGCAACACGCCAGCGCATGGCTGACGGCACTATCAATGCGACGTAACTACCATCGTCGGAAACATTGCACATGCGCAACATGTGCTCTCAATACAGTCTTTCCACCACACACACCAAGTCATGAATACGCTTGTTCGTCGTGCGCTGGCCGTATTCTCGACTGCTAAGCACATGCATCAAGTACTTCAACCTATTTCCTTCTTTGCAGTTTTCTTTATTAAACAGTTCAAGACAAAACTGTTTTATGCTCATGTTTGTGTTCACGCACCAATTTTTAACCAACATGGACCTTGAAATGCAGCTTAGCCGACAAACATTTGGCTGGCAGGTGACGAACAAGCCAATCCACGACGTGGTCCCTGCGGTGGAATCAATATTACAGAGCACATGCTACGCATGAGCAAGGTTTCTAACGATTGGTGTTACGCGGCGCTAGAATTGTTGTCCACGCGCTCACGTGTTCACCCCAAAATCGCTCACCACTCTACATAAAATATAAATGTAATAGCTATTTATTGTTTGCCAAACATGAACATCTCAATTTTTCTAATGACCCTGATTTGTAAAATTTTCTGTAACTAATTCGCACCTCTTTTTTCACTGAAATCCTTCGCTCTATTGCTGCATACCTCCTTTACAGAACATAAAATCTGTATTGCCCTTAGCTGTAGGTAACTGCATTGGTAAATTACGTTTTCCCGTAAACTTACTGCCGACTATTTCACGCATGTTGGAGATGTGGGCGTTGTATGGCTTCTTCGTTGTTCAAGAGAAGCCATGCGGCATAGCAGCATTTCAGCAAGCTAAAGTACCGATATTGAAGTCATTTGTTTTCTTCTGGGCTAATGTCAAAACCGCACTGTGGGATTGTTCACGTGGAACAATAGGTCAAACATACCATAGGAAATATGTGGTTGCAGATTATTGTGGCGACAGTACTCTACGTATCAGGGCTGAATTAAGGTGCTGGCATCGGTTTATTTCTCGTGTGGGCTGTGTCCCTCAATACCTGAAATATGAAAACCGGCAGTTTTTTTCTTGTAACACTGTCTACCTTGTCTTATATGTTTGGACCCGCACTGCGAATATTTATAAAGGACAACGACTTCAAAGCGGTAAGATATGCGAGTTACCTACATCACGATTTACTCTATCTGTAAGCGTTAGAATTAAACTAAACACTTGTGCAAATTTGTTCGGACGTTAAAGAACCCTAGGTGGTCGAAATTTCCGGAGCCCTCTACTACGGCGTCTCTTATAATCATATGGTGGTTTTGGGACGTGAAATGCCACGTATAAATTAATCAATGAATAAATCAGATTTGTCCTGTACAGTAACATTTATTCAAGTACACAAAAGAAGTGACTATATGAAAGACAGCCTTGAAGGCCAACTCCAGCGTTTTTTCGAGGTCGATGAATCTCAATGAAATTCGCTGGGTACGTTCCTTTGCACATTTACATCATTTATGCCAAATTACCGGCTTGAGAGATGCGCTTGTTATTTGCAAATGAATTTTAAAGATTGCCTTGAAAAGCTCACCTCACCTGCCAAAGTTATTGGAAACACTGTTTGTGTGACGCTGTTTGTTATGTAAACGGAAGTGACCCAGCCGGTGACATCGCTACTTT